AAACCCCCACCTAGAGTTTCAGGCGTAGTTTTAGCAATTGGTGTGGGTTCCGTGGAGCTGCCCCGGGTGCGCGGGGCTCGGTCACCATCGCTGGCCGCCCGCCGCCGCCGCCGCCCCTGGGCCGCCTCCCGTCCTGCGCGGGGGGAGAGCGGGCGGTCCGCGGCGGCTGCTCCTTACAAGTTTGGGAAATGCAGTAACTGACCCTCTCTTGCTGAAGGCGAGCTTTGGGTCGTGTGGTGCCAAGGACGTCCCGTGGCTTTCTTCCCGGTATCCTTTAAGAATTGCTGGACTTGGTCCAAGATTCCGAAGTTAATTAAAACAGTTCCAGGAGTTTACTTTTACAGGTTCTTCCAGCCGCGTAGCCTTCTCCGTCTCATCTCTTTAGGACTTTTTATTAGTTTGAGGTTTAACTTAATTTCCATAATTCTGTATAGCTCTTCTTTCCGGCTATCCTTCACATTCCTCTCTCTCGCACCTTCTGTCTATATAAACAACTCCTGTTTCCTTTGTTAAGCTCTTCTGGCTTGTGGTTGTTCATGTCGTCTTGCCTAAATATTTCGAGATCCCCTCTCTGGAATAAATGCCAGATGTTGGCTGTTCTGGCCACTAAAAGAGTTGTGGGGTTTTTTTAATATATGTTGACTATTTCAACTTGAAGAAAGCAAAATAAAAAGCAAGGGGATAATTTCTGTTGTGTCTCAATGAAAACACCTAAGGAGAGAATTGGTGAAGTTTATTGTACTTGAATACGTTCTGTGTAAATAGTTGTATCAAAAGCTTCAGAGCTGTGTCCTTCCTCGCCTGAAGAGAAAAGTAGCTGGGTTGCTACTTCACATAGTTTTGTAACACTTCTGTGTGCTTATAATTGTGCAGGCAATGGAACCAAGTACAGAGACTGGTGAAATGGGCCTCAACGATAGGTATGAAATTTAACTTCTTTTAGCTCCTAGGTTGAATTGCTTTATCATGTGGATCACTTTACAGTTAGTTTTAGACCATTAGCTGCTGGAAAAGCTGTTGGGTTTTTAAAACAAATATTCAATATTTGTATAGTTTTTGAAAACAGTAGTCTGTAGCTGACCTAACAAATAATCTTTAATGTGTAAGCAACATTTTGAATAATTTTATCTGTCATATTTAGGTATACTCAAGGAAAACTATTGATTTTCCTCCGAGTCCTTTTCTGATACAAACCTTGCAAAGTTGTGAGAATTGTTTTTTAGGCATAATGGTATTTAAACAATATATGAAGGGAAGTTAAAAATATTTAGCAAGATCATTTAAACTGAATCTGTTGTCATGTTGTCTAAAAAGATATGTTTTAGAATTCAGAGATATATTTTCATTATATTAGATAGTTTTAAGCTATTTAGTTCTACCTGTGAGGTCTCTGACTGTGCTGCTCTTATTCTATCGTGCTTTAACTACTGTCATGAGACTTCATAGGAGCTTGTAAGTCCCTGTTTAAAAACAAAAAGCAACAAAAAACTTCATACCTTGTTATTTTGTTTTGACTGTGTATCAATGGGAAATAGCACTCTTCAAAGAAATGTGAATCACTTCTTTTGGGGGGGGGGGGGGGGGGGTAGCGGTTAGTTGTTTCCTGGTTGGTCCAGAAAGTACACAGTAAAAATATAAGCATCAGCTTTTATGTTTAAGTGTTGTTTTGGGGTTTGAATAGGTTTCTTGGATTCTAAAAAGGAAAAAAGACTTAAATTAAACATACTTCTGCATAAGGACTCTAAGGAAAAAAATCCAAGACTAGCATGGAAATGCTTTTGGATGAAGAAATGCATGAACACTATAAATGGCGAAAAAGAAATCTGAATTTTAAAATGGCTTTATTTCCAGGAATGTTTTTAAGGATATATTTATTTTTAAAATTGCTTACTGTGCTTCATTCTTGTAAACAGGAGGTCACAACATAGGGAAGATTCTTATTGCAAACCGCGGAGAAATTGCGTGCAGAGTGATGCGAACAGCAAAGAAAATGGGTGTGAAGTCTGTAGCAGTTTATAGTGAAGCAGACAGAAATTCCATGCATGTAGCAATGGTGAAGTATATTCATTGAGTTTGTGATTGACATTCATTCATGACAGTATTTCTCATTAAGTCCAGTGTGAAAGTAGATATGTGTGCTCATGCAGTTGATTTTCACCGCTGTAGAGTTACGTCCAAGTTTTCCTTGAATCGGTGAAAAGTTTGCCTCATCTCTGTCGCAGCACCTGACAACTTTACGGGAAGTGCATTAAAGTTTGGCGCTCTGACTGCAGAGTAGCCACTGGGAGTTAGAGAATGGACTTGTATTTTGGGAAGAAAGTCAGAATTTGTTTCACCCAGTTGCGTTTCTCCACGAAGAGAGGCAGTGATTTATATTGTTGCCTGGTAGCAGTTTGATAAACCATATAATTAGCTCAGAAATTCAGTTAAATATGCTTGTTATGATCTAATAAACAGTCTGTGTTATATGTATTTTTTTATTTTATTTCTCTAACAGGCGGATGAAGCATACTGCATTGGTCCAGCACCCTCACAGCAGAGTTACTTGGCCATGGAGAAAATAATGCATGTGGCCAAGGTCTCAGCAGCACAGGTAATTAGATCACAGCCTTAAATCTTCTGTTACTTCCATGTTCTTTAGTTCTTCATTTGTACCAGTGATGTTTCCATCGTGTGTTTCCATAGCACTCTTCTGACGTTTCAGGGTTTTCTAAGCTAAACTGTTACAAAAATGGGCTGGTAACGTTATTCTATTGTAGGCCATTCATCCAGGTTATGGTTTCCTCTCAGAAAACACAGAGTTTGCGGAGTTGTGCAAGCAAGAGGGAATCATCTTCATAGGTCCGCCTTCATCTGCTATCAGAGATATGGGTATTAAGAGGTATCTGTTTCTAATTTATTACTCGGTTATTCAGTTTACAGTTTGGCAAAGCTAATTTTGTTAACAAATGACCAGTTGCTCTGTAATTATTTTATTCTGTCAGCTTGAATTGTCTTTTATTTTTATGGCTTTCTTCAAAGGAATAAGCTCCAGGTTTATAGATGCGGAATTCCTATAGGCACAGAAACAATCATGATTGTTCAGTTATTAGGACTTTAATAATTAAATACCAAACTGATTCAAGTTTTCTAGAATTTGGACGTTGCAGTGTTAGATGGGTAAGGG